CTTTGTACACTTTCCCAGGCACATCAACCACACCACCTTGGCTTGTTACCACAAAACCAAACACAGTTAACCCCATCAATGTTCCTATGAGGAACAACATGACAAAAAGATATAGCCAAAGTGCCCATGCAACATGGAAACAAGCTCCTATGAAACCAGCCAATGAAACTATGAGGATTATGAAACCTAGAAACAAGAGTGGTGTTTGGAGGAATTTTTCACATGTTGTACTGCTCCTTGCCATCCATAATCCAGCTCCTATGATTGGAATTGATGCTAACAGTGTGAAAAGATTCAAGAAACCTATCACTGTGTTGCTGAATCTATACATGTTCTTTTAGCTACTTAATTCACTAGCTTCTAAGTTTCTCTTTAGTGTGTGTGTGTGTGTTTTTGAAGGAATGTCTTAGTGAGTTATTTGTACGTGGGGGTTGGTGGGTTTCTTTATGGTGTTGGGTTTTTCTTTCTTGTGCTGGCTTGTTCAGCTTTCCGTATTAGCTTTAATTTCAAGGGGAGGCAAATTGTTTCAAATAGAAGAACCTTATGGACGTGAGTATATATGAACATCCGTTTATTACTTTACGGGGAATAAGGAATATTTTTATTTGGATAACAGTGACTGACCAAGATTTGCATTTCTTAGCTATGAAGTAAATCTCACATAATGTAGTGGTAAATACTTGATAAAATTGTCACATTCTATGTTTGAAGAATCTGCCCTCAGAGACATTGAAAAAGTTCGAACACATAGGAGTAATGGTGAAATTTTTTGTTAATGGTGTTNATATATATATATATATATTATTAGCTATGAACTTTATATAATTTATCACTAAATCGTTCATAGCTAACAGAATATTTTGATAATCTATCGATAATATGTCGCTAAGTAGGATTAACGATAAACTTTACTGTTTAGCTACAGAATTTGTTCATCTCTAATTCATGCTACCTATATATTTTTGTATAATTTGACAATACTTTAACAAATGTGTAGCAAAATCAAAAATTATTTATAGATTTGTTTGACCAGCTTATTAGCTTACCCAAACACCCTTTTGACCGCAGGGGCGGATTTATAGCCCCAATCATGGGGCACGTGAACCCATGGTCTTACCATCAAACTATGTATTTTATGTAACTATTTTCTATAACTAGTCTAATATTATTTGTTGGCACCCATACTCCAAAACTATTAAATGGTGCATTTGGCTGAATATTGGATTATTTACCCTAAGGAATAAGGATCGAATTCTCATTTAATACTTTTTTCCGACTTTTTTTAGTGGTGCACCCATGTTTAAGAATTCCTAGATCCGTCTTGACCGGGCATGCACGCATTCCTAAAGAGGAAAGTACAATACTTGATCAAAAATTCAGTTTTCTTTCAAGGAAAGGCAGAGCTAGTATATAAATTAGTTTGATTATACTAATCCATTACGAAAGATATATAATCATCTTATTAATAAATGTAATAATCGAACGCCATATACTCCAAAAAGTTATCACAGACAAAAAAAAGAGTATATAAATGTCTTAGGTCGATCATTTTTAGTTCCTTTATTACTAAGTAACTAAACGAGGAGCTAGGAAGTAGGCATCAAATTCACTCAAATTGCTCAAAGCAAGGAAAGCATAAGGGACCATTCAGTCAATTCAAAAATTAAAAGCTAGTAATAAGGGCCCCCATTATTGCCTCCTTTTTAAAAGCATAATGAGAAGAAGAATTAGCCTACGTATTTTTGTATATATCCAAGTGAAGTGGGAATGGAATAATTCAAAAATAAATCTCTCTTATCTTCTCTTTGCCTTTGTTTTCAGATTCTGGTTCTCTTTTTCAGCTCCACTAATTCTTAGGGCCCATATTGTCGTAGAGAATTGTTTTTAGGTAGTACTATATATTAAGCTTTTCTATAGTTTAGTCAAGTAAGCGTACTCAAGGCTGCAAATGGTGGATAACCTTTCTAGATATTTAAATTTTAAAATAGATATTCTTTTAAGCTTTTGATACTAAAGATGCTTTCCGTCTATTTCCTAACACCACCAAGTGTTTTATTATGTTCATCGACGAATGTAGTTAGGTAGTTGCAAATTTTTCAATCTTTTAAGTTCGAGCCTGAAGAAAACACAGTAGAAAGTATTTATTATTAGGGGCTACCCAACACATGTAGATCATATTTTATAAGGTTCAAATTTGGATGTAAAAGAATCCAAAACTTTAACCTATAATGTTCAAATGCTAAATTTATCTCTGATCCAGCGTGAATCCATATATTAGTCAAGCCAGTCATGAATTTTGGGTACATGATATATACTTAAAGCGAAAAATAGTATTTCAATATGATATTGCAGCATCGTTATATGGGTGAAATGGTACTAAGGTAATGTCCTATTTCATCACGAAAGTAAAAGCTATAAAGTAAACGAGTATTCAAGTCCTAGTAGAATGTTCCTACTAATCAACTATTGGTTCATCCGACGAACCGAAGAAACAAAGAAGATTCTATTATCTACAATCGGCGATCTATATAACTATGTATTTGACTAATCATGCAAATTAGAGCTATTGTCAAATGTATAAGATCGTGCATGACAACTTATGGAGTATATATCTTCTGAAACATTGTTTGATTATATACAGGGGCGGATCTACCTTATGAGATAGGGGTATCACGGCACCCGTTCGCTTCGCTAAAATTCTTACTATGTACATAATATCTCTGTGAAGAAACGTATATATGGATAGAGTGGCACCTAGAAATCACAAAATAAAAGTGGGTGCCATTGGTTCAGTTGAGCCATAGGGCCTCACCTTTTTTCCTTCTTTTTCGGCTCTTTCTCTCCTTTTATTACTTGCTAAGTCTCTCTTCTTCATTTTTTTTAAACTTTCGGTCCTCGTTTTGTTTCTATCATTATACCTTACTTTATGAACAATTATTTTCTATAGGTAATTTGAATTGATTTTAATTAGCATATAATTTTTTTATTTTTAATAAAACGATATTAATTTATATATTGCAATATAATTTGAGCAATATCTTCTATTGAGTTTTGAAAAAAATTAAATGGCTTGATTGATAGTCGTTTGAGTCGAATATCATAGGTTGAATGTTGAAGGTTTTTCTTCGAAAATAATTGTCATATAACGCAACAACTAAGATGGAAAAATAAACAAAGAACAATACAAGTAAATTAATCTAATCAAACAAAGAATATATAGTGTAGTTAAGCTACTCTGTAAGCAAATATTTATATTTGAGGCACTCTTTCATGAAATATTATCTTTCTTTTAAATTTTTATTTAGAATTTGTTTAAATTAAGCGTTAAAAATTTAAACTAAAATCAAACTTATTTGCTTTGTGAATGAAAGACCTATTCAAATTAACCAAAAACTTAGCGAACCGACCCATTATTCCTAATCTGTCTTTGTAGCTACTGACATATATACTTTATGCATAACATGGTGGCACCCGCAACCTTCGAATCCTGGATCCGCCTCTGATTATATATTGGACTAAATTTTTGAAGATGGAGTTTCAATTTTGAAAAAGTGGTTTTATACTTTTTCAAGCCAAGTAAAATTATATTTTTCCTTCACAAAAATATAATAGTTTTTCAAGTGAAATGCATGTCTAAACATAATTTTAATTATCAAACATCTTTTTGTCAACTTAATTTTTTTTGAAAGAATTCCAGTTCTCATTTTTTTAATGTCCAAACGCCTAACAATTAGAAAACTAGAATGTATTTTTGTTTTCAAAAACAATAAACGAACTAAAAGCAAACAATAATGGGTACATTGCTGTCAAACGAGGCCCGCTAGTAGACCATAAATAACAGGGGAAAATTGGTTGGGTGGGTCACTTGTTGGGCCGGCTATTAGAGTTTTAGCTATATTCTAAATTATAATGGCAAAGTATTCACGAGTCTGATTAAACTAACATTTTTGCCTCCAACTAAAACATGGAATACAACTCAAACAATCGGTAGTATAGTTCGAAGTCCCAGGAACACTTCCTGATTTTTTAACCTTTACTAGTGTACAATCCAAGAACAATTCTTGGAGTTTAAAATAATTGGGATCAAACCTTCATGGGTGAAATAATGTGAAAAGGGATCCAAACCCCAGTAATTGTTGCTAAGGATTGTTTCCTCTATGGTACATCTTTTGAACTCAAGGATAATATTTTATAGTTTCACCTTGTGGAAGTTAGAATTCCATAATTGTGTCATGGAGTTCAAAACAACATATCTTCGAGTGAAACAATGTGAACACGATTCAAAACCTAGTAATCATTGCTTGGGTTTGAACCTATACAAGTTTGAATCCCAATAATTATTGCTGGAGTTTGAACTTATGAATATTCGAAATTTAGTAAAGTGTGTATTTGGGATTATTCTTGTAGAGAATTTTTGGACTCCAGTATATTATATTTGAATTTCATTTGTAGAATGTTTGAAATACAATATAGATTTTTGGAGTTCCTCCGTATTTTAGATAGGGGTGCTTTTTAGGCAACTTTGCCAATACAATTGAAAGGACGTTCAAACTCTAATAATCGACCCAAAAGTGACTATTTATCAATTTTAAGCAAATAACAGTGATTGGTTACTGTCAAAGGGCAGGTGGGTTTTGGATAGGGCCGTGTCATTTTTTAATTGGATCAGTGCATCATAATTCGGAAGGTTGGTTTTTGGCATTATAGCTTTTGTGTTAGTATAGTGAAAGCATTATGATTTTTCTATTACAAATCAAAGTTATGTAACTTTGATGAAAAAATTTACAATTGTGTGACCTTCCACGAAATTTATTCGGCTTTTACATTTAGGATGTCCACTCACTTAGACCTCGACCCATATTATTGCAATATTTTTTTGTTTGATCTTCAACTTTTTTGCACTTTAAGCTACAATGCGAATTTATTAATTGGGTGAATTGTGTTATGAATTATTATAGTGTTTAGATGTTTGACAGTTTTCTTGTGGATTTGTATAGATATGTGTAGAAAACGGATCAGATAAACTCTCTTGATCTGGATCGTATGAGCTTAGTTTGCCTTCTTCAAACAAGAAGTGAAGTTTTCTATTAACAAAAGGAAATAGTTTACCGGCTCTCTCTCTCTCTAAAACTCTCTGACTTATCTCTACCCTTGATCTCACTTCATCAAATGTCGACAACTGACCCCACACCGTACAACCACCGTACCCACCAGATCCATCTATTGCTCCAATGACAAATCAACAACCTAACACCAACTCCTCCACCCTCCCTCCTACAATGGTCACAATAGCACCCACAACGGCTAGTGACCCAACACCCATTTCCACTAGCACCACCAATGAAACCACCAGAAACCCAACACCCAAAACTAATAACACCATCTCATCTGTCAAAGATCCAATTTTTTCACCCCAACCTAAAGTTTCCTCCAATTTCGACAAACTAAATCGAGGAAGAAACCAAATCAGTGAAATCGAAAACACCAAAATCCTTTCCCAAAAAACTGAAACCACCAAAACTCCCAATACCCAACTAGAACAATACCAAAATAAACAACCCCTGACGACTATCAACATGCAAAAAGGAATTCCGTTTAATGCTAGCAGTAAAATTGAAGACCCCCAAAATAGTAGGATGCAAATGGTGTCAAAACCAACATTCGCAGCTATGGTTCAAGATATACTCCCCAAATTGAATGTAGGAGAACCAACTACTGAGATCCAACATGGCTTGGTAAGCCTGCTGTCTTCTTCTTGGTACGGGACTATTTAATTAATCTTGCCAAAGAGTGTAAGTTTACTATTATTGGAAACTTTTTATGGGGAGGGGGGGAGGGAACCAACTATGAAAAATATTAAGAAAGTCTTTTCTTGGAAATTCCATCTCACTACCCCCATAAAGATTGCTTATTTTGATCCCTAGCATGTTTATATCGATCGTAAAAATGAAGTAGACTACAATCATATCTTCTTCAAAGAATATATTAATATTGGGGATGCACCTATGAAAACTTTGAAATGGACTACGGATTTCAAGTCGGAAGAGGAAACATCTATTGTTCCAGTTACCACCAACTTCTATGGCACTTATTTAACTGGCAAACTATAGGCAGAATGATAAGAGAAGTGGGGACTGATGTGGCCCCTGATCAAGCCACGTATTCAAATTCAAGAGGTAATGTTGCAAAAATTAAAGTTGAAATTGACCTTCTAAAATCAAGAACTGATCAGATATGGCTTAGCTTCAAAAGATTAGATGGTTCTGATGATAGAAAATGGGTAGACATCAAGTATGAAAAAGTTCCTAGTTATTGCCTTTACTGCAAGATGCAAGGTCACCTTGAGAGAAAATGAAGAAATAAGACCAGAGATGAGAGGATCAAAGCTCAAAGGGAACAACTAAAAGAGATAAAATTAAGAATGATGTGGACGCCATAAGGGAGAAGGATTTTTAGACATTAAAGAGTAAAAGAGGACTAAAAATCAGGAATGATATACCAAACAACAAGCTACGGAAGAGAATGTGAACAAGAACATTCAATCCCCGGCCAAAGATGACAGAGATCCAAAGAAGCTAACACAACCTATTGAGCAACCCCAAATTAACAACAATCAGAGGAAGGATCCCATCAAAACATTTAACAGGTACAAAGGTATTAATATTAATGAAAATATCACTGATAATCATATACATACAATGATGGAAGTGTCAGGAAAAGGAAAGCAGAAGGTTGGAGAAGAGAATAACTAACATCAACAGGTTACTGATGTCAATAAGAAGAAGAAGAAGAAGAAGAAGAAGAAAAGAAGCAAGAAGAAACAATTCCAAAATTCAGAGAATATCAATGAGACCAAGGCTCAACAAGAAGAACAAAATAGCAACAAAAAGGATATTGCTGAAGGTAATAGTACTATAATTGCAATCAAGAAAGTCGTGCAACACATAAAAACTGGTGAACAACAAACTAATAGTACACGATAGAAAGTTGCTCACCAAGACAATGATACCACCAGTAATATGGACCCTGCTTAGGTAATTGATCCTAGTGAGGTACAGAATAATTACCTAAAACTTATAAGTGGTTCTAGCTTAGAGGAAGACAAGAACAGTGGGCCAGAATATGATGGGAATCAACCTGATTATTCTGTTGAAGAAAAAGAAGAGTTCTCAGAAGACTTGTATTATGTTGAGGAGAACATCTATACAGACAATGAAGATTACGCTAGTGTGATCAATTAAGAAGACTTGAGTGAGGACCAAAACACCAGAATTATTGAAAGAATTAATGATACTGGCCAAACCAACATGAACAATGAAACTGATGAAGACAATAGTGATGCCAATGTTGACAAATTAGTGGAAACTTTCTGCTCTCAAACCTTGGTAAAGGTTACCTTAGAATTTGACAAGAGTATTGGTAATCTCCAACTATCCCCTAGAGGTAGGGGAAGAGGTAGATATGCTAAGTAAAGTGGCAGACAACAAAATAGAGAAAGGGGTGGCAGAAACTCTAGACAAATGCCTATGACTCAATCACAGGAAAAACAACTCACCAACTAATCTTATGATTAAGTCTCTTTTTTTGGAATAATAGAAGCATCCATTCAAAAGGTTCTTTTGAGAGACTTCAACAACTCATCAGATCTTAACACTTTCCTTTTATTGCCCTTTATGAACCTTTCTACAAGGTCGATAAACTGGACAAGTACAGAAGGCTCTTTGACTTTAGTAATGCTTATTCCAATAGTAATAGCCAGATATGGTTTTTTTGGGATGATACTCTGGAATGTCAAGGTTATTAAAGAAGATGAGCAACAAGTTACAATCCTTATCTCTTCTGTGTGTGTCAATGTGATGATGTCCAAAGAGAAGGGTTATGGGATAGTTTGAAGAATATTGCTAATAAATATTCATTGCCTTAGTACATTGCTGTAGATTTCAATTTTTTCACTGACCCGTCGAGAAAAGGGGGGGAAACCCTCATAGAATCTCAAAAAGTATTCCTTTCCACCAATGCATTATGAATTGTGATCTTATAGATCCTGGTTATTTAGGATCACCTTATACTTGGTGTAATGGATGGTGCCCTGACAAAAGAATTTGGAAAAGGCTTGATAGAGTTCTAGTCAATCATGAATGAATAAATCTATTTGATTCAACTAGTGTTAACCACTTGATCAGGACTGGATTTGATCACTCCCCTCTTTTTATCACTGCCAACAATAGCCAGAAAAAATATATCAAGTACTTCAGATTTTTGGACTTCTGGACAGAAGAACCTTATTTTCATTCAATGGTTTAAATATCTTGGAATAGTGATGTTCATGGATCTCATATGTGGAGATTCCATTTAAAATTGAAAAATACTTGCAAAATTCTATCAGAATGGTCAAGGAATACTGTGGGCAACATTTTGTATTAGGTCAAAGATCTTGAGGCTAACTTGGAAACTACTATTATTATTGATAACTTTGAGAATAATAGAGCAACTTTGAACCTTGCTAATTTTCTTTTGATTAGAGCTTATAAGAAGGAAGAACCCTTCTGGAAACAATAGTCTGGAGTAAAATGGTGTGTGGAGGATGAAGTTAACTCCAAGTTTTTTCACTCTGTGGTTAATGGAAGGAAAAAGAGATTGACCCTTAAGAAGATGAAAAAGGACGATGATGATTGGATAGAAGGGGATGATGATATTGCAAATAAGGCTGTGGATTTCTTCCAAAAACAATTCACTAGAGAAGAGCAATATCCTGATTTCTCCATCTTAAACTGCATTCCTAAACTAATCACTGATAAGGACAACAATATGCTTACTGCTACTCCCACCATGGATGAAGTATAGGTTATAGTTTTCTCAATATGTCCTCAAGCTTACTGGGCCCAGATGGAATCTCAGAGAAGTTTTATCAATCTTATTGGAAAATTATTAAGAATGATTTACTTCTTATGATCCTTGATTTTTTTTGCAGGTACACCAATCCTAAGAGCTCTCACTCACACCTGTCTAGTTTAATCCCTAAAGTGGAATGCCCTTAAATATGTACAAAACTAAGACCTATAAGTCTCAGTAATATTTCATTCAAGATTATTTCCAAATTGGTCAATCAGAGATTAAGCCCTTTGATGTAGAAACTGATCACTCCTAATTAAACAGGTTTTATTAAGGGCGGATCTATCGCTGAAAATATCTTGCTTACACAAGATATGGTCCATAATATCCACAAACCATCTTCAAGTGAAAATGTTATGATCAAATTGGATATGACCAAGGCATATGACAGGGTTAACTGGTATTATTTGTGTCAAGTACTTAGAAAAATAGATTTTTCTGAATGCTGGATATATGATATGCAGATTAATGACTACTGTTTGGTACTCTATTAATATAAATAGAGAAAGTCATAGTTTTTTCAAATCTAGTAGAGAAATTAAATAGGGGGCCCTCTTTCTCCATCCCGTTTTGTTATTGGTGACAAATTGTTATCTAGATTACTAAATAATATGATAGATTCAGGTTTCATTCCTTACTTTTGCGAAAAAAGGGTCCTAACATTACTCATTTGTGTTATGCAGATGATACTACCATGTTCTGTTCTTGTAATTCTGTGTCTTTGGACATGGTGATGACCAACCTTGGACTCTATGAAAACGTTTCTTGCCAGTTGATCAACAAAATCAAATCTGATTTTTATGTATCCTTCAGAGAAGATGATCCCAAAGTTACTGATATTCAAAGGATCACTGGTTATTCTTTATGACCCTTCCATGTAATCTATCTTGGTTGTCCTATATACCTTGGGAGGAAAAAGGTTATCTACTTCAACAGTATGGTGGCCAAAATTTCTAACAAACTCCAGGGTTGGCATGGGAAACTCCTCTCCCACGGATGAAAAGCAGTGTTGATCAAGTTTCTTATCCAGTCTATGCCTATCCACATCCTCTCGGTAGTTCAACCCCCCAAAAATACTCTGGATCAAATTCACAAGATTGTGGCTAACGTTTTTTTAGGGTAAACATTAGCAAGAGCAAAAGGCATTGGAATGCTTGGAAAGACCTATGTTTTCCAGTCCTTGAACAAGGAGTTGGATTTAGAGCTCTCCAGAATGTTTGTAAAGCTTTCTCTGCCAAACTTTGGTGGAATTGTAGAACTCAAAACAATATGCTCGAGGCTTTCTTTACGTCTAAATACTGCAAAAGATCACATCATGTGGCAAAGAAGTGGAACTATGGGCACTCCTATAACTGGAGAAGACTTATGAACATCAAGATAGATATTGAACCTCATATCTTCAGGAAAATTGGCAATGGTGATGTCTCATTCTAGTGGGATAATTGGACTGGTCTTGGTCCTCTTGCCAATGTTATTCAACTGGAAAGGGCTTCTAGACGTATTAAAATAAAGGATTTCATCCAAGATGGGACATGGAATCATTATAAACTTATTAACTATTTGTCTGTAAATATTGTCAATACCATTGAGAAGGTGGATATTACTGGAAGTGGCAAAGATTGTCCTTACTGGCTACCTGAAAATACTGGACTTTTTTCTACTAAATCAGCTCAGCAATTACTTAGAGATAGAAAGGGGAGTACACTCTCTTGTAAAAGCATCTGGCAAAAAACTATTCCCATTAAAATTTTATTATTGTTAAAAGACTTCTTGAGAAGAAAATTGCTACAAATGATGCTCTCAAGAAGTTTGGGGTAGTAATTCCCTCCAGGTGCTCTTTTTGTTCTAATCTCTGTTTTAAAAAGCGTTTCTGGGGCGAGGCGTACCAAAAATGCCCCGGGGCAATGGTGTGGGGCGAAATTCTCAAGAGGCGTACGCCCCGCAATTTGGGGCGTACGTCTCGCAATTCGGGGCATACGCCCGAGCGTTCAGGGCGCGTTATTTTAGTAAGGAGTAAGCCCCAGAGACTTTTTTAAATTAAAATAAAATTTGTTGAATTAATCCTTTATATAATACCCAAATTCTCAAAAGTCAGTTTGGTAATTACTCAAAAGGTTTTAAAAGGAACTCAAAAGTATTAAATTTAAAAGTAAAGATCTTTTTTTATTGATTTAAGCCCTAATTCATGATTTTTCCAAATTTTTATCTTGTCTGCTAGTCTACTAATATCTTTCAAAAGCAACGAATAATTAATTTTTTTTTACAAATACAAAGAGAACTACATTTTTCTTCATAGCAGCAAATTCAAAGTTTAAATTGCAGGTTAATTATCCTTTTTATTCCTCCATATATAAAACTTTATTNAATTTTTATGCAATTTTACCTGTTTATAAATATTAACTGTCATTATATTATTTTATAAAATATTAAAAATTAAATACCTATAGGGCTTACGCCCCGCTGAGGCATATGTAAAATGCCCCGCCTTACGCCCACGCCTTTTAAAACACTGGTTCTAATTACAAAGAGGAAACTTCTAACCATCTTATTAATGCTAGTCAAATTGCTGAGGAGGTTTGGTCCTTTTTTGGTAAAGCTAGTCATATTCAATGCAATAACCATCATATCAGAGATAGACTCATGATGTGCTGGCTGTCCAAAACCAACAATGAGGTGCATGACACTATGATTAAATGCATTTCTCTTGTAATTTGCTGGGAGATCTGGAAGAATAGATGTGCAGCCAGATTTAATAACAAGAACATGTCCAGCTGGTTTATTATTCATCAAGTTTTCAACTATATCAACCTTATTCTCAAATGCCAATTTTCTACTCTTCAACTACCTTCCTCCTAGCTGGACAAATGTAAAGTCGTGGACAACCTGAGACTAGTCATCCAATCTCAAATTATTCCATGGAAGAAACTTACTGATGGATGGTTCAAGTTTAATGCTGATGGCTGCATTAAGGATAATCCTGGCTTAGCAGGTGGAGGAGGAATTATTATAAACTACAGAGGTGATTTGGTCAAATCTTTTATTGGTTTCTATGGCATATGTAGCAAATAATATTGCTGAAGCTAGAGCTATTTTACAAGGTGTACGTATGTGTAAGACTTTTACACTTTGGGGATAACAAATGTCCTGGTGGAATCTGATTCCTTGATGCTTGTAGATATGATCAACAAGAGGAACAAAATTCATTGGCAAATTAAGCACATACTTGAAAATATTTGGGATGTTATCTCTACTTATAACTATAAATTTATACATACCTTTAGAGAAGGTAATTCTATTGCAGATCATCTTGCTAATTTGGAAGTTTAAATAAGGAATCATGATATCTTCAATGAAGTTGTTTCCATCCCTAGTCAAGTTAGAACTTTTTTGAAGTTCGATCAAAATGGGATACCCAATTTCAGATTCAAAACTAAGAGGAAACACTAAAATATTATTGATGGAATTTCCTAGACTTATGATATATACTAAGAGTCCACCAAACTGTATAGAGCACCGGGTTCTATCAGTTCCCACAGAACACACACAAAGCAATAAGTAAATAACACAATAATATTTTACGTGAAAAGCTTCCAGCTCACAGAATTAAAAATCACGACCTACACTCGTAGGATTTCAACTTCACTAATCGAGCAACTTTAGATTACAACATATTGTAACCTAGGTATTAAACTCTTAATCCCTCACCTACTTGCAATAACTATATTGCAAGCCTCTTTGTAATAACTCTATTACAAAGCTAACCACTTTGACTAACTTTAGTCAAACACAAACACAAGGTTTATGATTTATAAAAGTATCCTACAAGATGCTTCTCAATAAGCTGAGTAAGAGTTATAAGAAAATAACATTAACAAAGATACAATAATATTAATGACACACGATGTACTCAATGCTGGGATCTGGTCCTTCGTTGTGTTACTACTTTGTTCTTCAATGCCTTATAGTAAATGAAGGCGGATGCACACTTGAAAGTAAAATATATTTTAGGATTTCCAAGTGTGTGTATTCCCTTACCTCATGTTGGTAATATATAAGTGAGGTCATAAGGATGATACAAGCAAGTGTCTCGTACACAACATGCTTCAACAGTAACTGTTATACTATTGCGCATATAGTGCAGCAACTTTAACAGATGTAAAGAGTTGACTTGTATTATGACCGGAGGAACTGATATCTATCTGTTGCCTCTGTCATTTCCTTAATAGATTTCATTGGAACTTGTGCCAGCCATTTGACTTGTTGTTCTAAGCACGGAGATGCTTTGCATCAGGTTCCCTATTTGGTTCTCATATGAAGTTTGTTAAGTCAAAACAAAAGGCAAATAACTTATCAATTTCTCCCTTTTTGATGATGACAAATTTAGAATTGAAATTTTCCCTGAGAATCAGATCTCCATATTGTTCCCCCTGCAGAATAGCCATATTCCCCTTGAGAACCTGTTAACATGTTTCTCCCTTGAGAACCTGTTTCTCCTTTGAGAACCTGTTCTTCCTTTCAATGTTCTTCCCCTTTTTTGCATCATAAATTTTTTTTTTCAAGTAAACGCAAAAAAGAAGTCCAGCAAAGTTAACTCATGCCACTTGTGTGCACACATCATAGCTAAAAATAGAACACAAGAGTATAACATGTATTTAAAAAGGACTATGATGCTCATTAAATTAAAGGAGAAAAACAACAAGTAGTAGTACCTTCATTACAAAACATGCACAGAATAAACATTACTAAAGTACCACAATCATAGGGAAAAGATATCAAAACAGGACACTGGAGAATAGAAGGGGGACTCACATACTGATCACTGACAAGGGGACAATATAGGGGTCACTAGAAAAGGGAGGGAAGGACGAAGGGGCAAGAGCCTTGAGGAGACCATCCACTCGAGAATTAGCAACCCTTTTCTCATTGATCAGTTGCTCTTTCAGGTTCTCAACATGTTTCCTCAACTCTGCATTCTCAGCCGTTAAGCAAGCAACTTCTACACTTTGAGCACTGCTAGAACCAGGTTTCGCGCTCCCTTGACTAAGCTTTCCCTTAAGAATGACATTCTGGTCTTTCAGCCTCCTTATCTCCTCGTTACCAGCACTCTGAGCATCAATCAACTGAGAAATTATGGAACTGCTACCAACTTCCCCATTTTTATCAATACACTCGCATTCCTCCAAGGTGTTCATTGAGAATATTTGCTTATGAGTTCCCACAGCTGCTCTCCTAAAAGGGACTTTAAAATGTTCAAAAACTTTGGTGAGCAGGAACCCCTATGGTAGACCATGATTCCTATCTTTGAAGTTTGCCACATTTTTCATGTGTTAAATCAGGATCCTAGGCAGATTGATAGCATTGTATCCGTTCAATGCCTCCAAAAGAACCAGGTCTGCTATCAATGTAATAGATTGTCTTTCTGCTTGAGGTAGCAGGACCTTGTTCACCATCTCAAACATGAGTTGGTATACTAGAAGCAGTGCCTTCTTGTGTACTCGTTCCCCTTGCTGAACAGTTTGAGGCTTTAGAATGAGCTTCCTAAAACTTGAGGAATAGGTCCCCTCAACAGTTGAAAGCCCCTCAACAGGCACATCAAAAATATGTCCCAACATAGCCTCATCAAGCACAAAATCCACCCCATTTACCTTCTAGCAGATGTTATCAGCCTCAACAATGAACATATCAGCATAGAAACTGCGTACTTCCTCCTCATAGACCTTTGGACTTAGAACAGTAAAGAGATGAGTCCATTTTTGGATTTCACATATTTCAACGAATTGCCTTATGCCTGACTTGTCAAGAATGTCAGTATCAAAAACCCTTCCCCACAACACTTTTGCTTCTTCAGCTTTACTTTTCTTTCAATCTCAGACACATCAACTCTAGCCCTTTTTGAGGAACCAGGTTCCTCACTACCACTTGGCTTTCTCTTGTGAGACTTCTTCTTCCCAACACCTTGACCTGACTCATCAGATCTACCTTCCCATTTTTCATATCAATGACTTCTCCAGGGACCTTTGAATACTCTCCATCATGACCATTCTTATCATGTTAATCCTTTCCACTTGAGTGGTGTGATTCATCAAAGATTACATGTACGCTTTCCTCTATGCATTGAGTTCTTTTGTTGTTGACCTTGTATGCTTTGCTTTGTGAAGAATAGCCAAGAAAAATTCTTTCATCACTTTTAGCATCAAATTTTCCCAACGCTTCCTTATCATTATTGAGAACAAAACATTTACAACCAAATGCTCTCAGGTAAGTCAGCTTTGGTTTTCTTCCGTTTAGCAATTCATACAAGGTCTTGTTTAGGAGGGACCTGATCATGCACTTGTTTGTCAGATAACAGGCAGTGTTTACTACCTCATCCCAAAAGCTCTTGGGTATGCCACTATCAATTAGCATCGTTCTTGCCATATCTTCAAGAGTCCTATTTTTTCTCTCCATAACACCATTTCTTTAGGGTGTTCTCGGAGCCGAAACATTATGACTTATACCATTTTCAGCACAGAATTCATCAAAATTTACATTGCCAAACTCGGTACCATGATCAGATCTGATGTTCACAACATTATGGCTCATCTTCACTTGAATTTGCTTCACAAAAGCATCAAAGACTGGAAAGGTTTCATCCTTGGTTCTGAAGAACAAGGTCCATATGAATCTGGAATAGTCATCAACAATAATGAAGATGTACTTCTTTTCTCCTCTTTTGGGCATCCCCATAGGCCCACACAGATCCATATGGAGAAGATCTAGTGGCCTTGAGG